TTTTTTTTTTTGCAAGAAATTTAATGTCCATTTACAAGAGCTATCTCTTGTACATTTTTTTGAAGAATATCATACTATAGTATAAACAAAAGTCAACAAAAAATAAAAAACAAATTTATTTTATGCTACTAATTTTTCTTTTATAATAAAAAATATTAAATTATATTATATATTAATTTATTATAAATAAATTATCAAAACTAAAGTTTGTTTTTCTTTTCACCAATTTCACACAATAACGTAACGAACGTTAAGATATGATAGATAGTACATATAATCAATAGACTGTATAATCAATAAATGTATAAATAAAACTGAATATTTTTTATATTACAAAACTAGTTTTATGTTTGATTATAAGGTTACGTAGGGTTAATCAATAAATATATTTTAATAAAAATCAATATTAAAAAATTATTTGTAAATTGAGCTAAAATTGTGATTGGAGAGGTGGAAAGTTTTAAGTAATTAGGGTCAGTTGTGCAAAAAGTGGTGGTATTGACGAGGATGTAAGACACAGGATTAAGTGCGGATGGTTGAAGTGGAGAGAAGTGTCTGTCGCCTTATGCAATAAAATAATTCCAATGACACTATAAGGTAAGTTCTATAAGGCAGTAGTGAGACTAGCTATGGTGCATGTTTTAGAGTTTTGGACAGTTCACAAGAGAATAAAGCAGATAATGAGTGCAGCAGAGATGAGAATGCTTAGATGGATGAGTGGAGTGACTAGAAAAGATAGAATAAGGAACGAGCATATAAGAGAGAATATAGACGTAGCGTAAATTGTAGATAAGATGAGAAAAAATAGACTTAGATGGTTAGAAAAAAAAATTGACCTCTAGACTTGTCTTCGTGGTGAAAATAGCTACCGAATGCTATTTTTGTGTCAAAATCCTCGATTTTATTTTTTACATTTTTAACTTTATTATGCTATATCTTTTTGAAAAATATATGGATCAATACAATTTTTTTATGAGAAATAATATTTTTTAATCCCTTTTTCATTTGACATACTTTATCTTAATCAGGATATTAATAAGGAATTAGCAGATCATGTAGCTTTTGAAATAAATCACCAATTTTTAAAATTAAACACTATCTAAAGATTTGCATCGAACGGATTTCTTTTAACGATACTTCAAAAGATCACAAACCGTATTTAGTCGAAGTCATTACCCTCGAAAATTGAAAAAATTTCTTTTGTTCCCCGTAAATGGGGAACAAGCATATAATTGTAATGACTAGAAACTAGGAGAAACCTCCAAAAAAATTACAAATTTAAAAAACGCTAATTTTCGAAATTTTTTTTACTTAAAACTGCCATATCTTTTTCAAAAATTAACATTTCCATATAATTTTTTTTTATAAATACTTGATGTCTTTACCTATCATTTTATATACTTTTTTTATAAATCTGACCCTTTATCTGCCCACGGAGGGAGATTTAAAATGACAACTTTTTCACAAAAAATTTACTTTTACACTTAACTTTTGAAAGTGTTCCGGAAAGTCTGACACTTTTATATATATCTTAAATTAAAGTTAATGTAATTTACTTTATTATGAAAAAAAAAATTTCGGATTTTATTTTGTTTTCACAGTGAAAACGGCTACCAAATGCTATTTTCGTGTGAAAATCCTCGATTTTATATTTTACATTTTTAACTTTATAATGCTATAACTTATTGAAAAGTGTATGGATCAACACAATTTTTTTATGAGAATAATATTTTTTAATAATCCCTCTTTCATTTGACAAACATTATCTTAATCAGGATATTAATAAGGAACTAGCAGAAGTTGTAGCTTTTGGAATAAACCACCAATTTTTAAAATTAAACACTATCTAAAGATTTGCATCGAAGCTTTTTTTTTTTTTTTATAGTGATTTTAATCACTGTCAGATATCATTATACTTGATTAAATGTTAATGTAATAGAGGCATAATTAAAAAAATATTGTTAGAAGTTAACGTAAAAGTACATTTTTATTCATAATACCCAGAAAAATAAATGTTAGAAACACTAAAATTTAAAGGATTACAAATTTTGTCGTGTTCCTCGTAAAAATGAATTAGTTCATGTTCCTCTTTCTTAAATTTTTAAAGGAAACAGTTTATATTTTCGCTTCTACAAAAAGAATTCGTTCTATTTGGAACGAATTTTCATCTCAGCTGATTTTTTACTACAAGAGAATATGCATTGTATAATTCATTCATTTAGACTTTTTCATTTATTATTTAAACGATCCTTTAGTACTTGCTGAGCAATCTTATTAAACACTATTCGTATTTGTATTTTTAGTATTGATTAAAAATAAAATAAAAATATTTATGTAAGGGAAAGTAGAATAAGATGAGAGAAATTGTCGATGAAGATCAATAACTTTTTAAAAATAATATGTATATATTTTTTACTTTCAGTATGTAGTCGTTAAATCATATAAGTAGTCAATTAACATTCGTTTGCTTTAAATGAAGAAATTAAAAAACATCGTTTGCTTTATGTATAAAATACATGAATATTGAATCGAGGGCACAATAACTACCATAACATTGCTGAAAAATTACTATTATTTATATTAATTGTACTTGTTTTGTATGAGGCAGTTAGACTATGGGATGGCTAGTTTTGGACTGCACTAGATTTTCATTTTGCCTTAAGCCTGCTGCGTTTACTAGCAGAGCGAGTGAGAGAGGTCACTGATATCCAAAAAATGACGTATAGACAACAATTAAGTATCAAGTAAATAAATATATTATTAGTTCTGCAATGAAGAAACCATAATCTAAAGGGCGTAGGGGCTCTTAAATACTAAAATGTCAGATATGGCAAAAATGACAAAATATATAAAACTTAATAAATAAATAAGTAATGTGTGGATTTTTTTGACCAAGGAGTGTTGACTGGTGGTATATGATGGTAGTGGACTATATGAGATACTGTGAGTTGAAGCGATAAATACAGTGCTGATCTTGTAGTGAACGACAAAAGATGTAAGCATATTTTTTATTTTTAACTTTATAATGCTATAACTTATTGAAAAGTGTATGGATCAACACAATTTTTTTATGAGAATAATATTTTTTAATAATCCCTCTTTCATTCTCGACTTTAAACATTTTTAGCCTTATTTTACTATAAAAATAACTTTTTTAATACTAATTAAACATATGTATAGTATCAATTTTAAAACTATGATACAAAATATATTGTTTTCTAAAATAATTTTAAAAAAATTAAGAAAAAGAAAAGGAAATTGCATAAATTACCTAAAAAAGAAACATTTTATTAGTTTTTGGCCTTGATATAAACAAAATAGAAGACCAGGAACTTTAGAATGACGTTCAGTGTTTTTCCCGCGTATTAGCTAAGATTTATTGCATTAAATTGATGTATTTATGTTTTAATAAAATATTATCTTACGATGTACTAATTTAAATTTTAAATAACAGTGCAAATTTGTATCGTATTGATAAAATATTATGAGTGTATTAATACTGATTTACCAAAAATTAATACTGTGTACACCAATAGTCAAAAAAATATTTGTAGCCCATTAAAAATAAATGACAAACGACTATATATATATAATTATAATATTAATATTATCAATGATAACATTAATTACTTTGTTAAGTTTTTAATTACTTTTCAAATGGAAATTTTCATGATGTTTTCAAAATTATTTTAATATGAATTTTTATAGGAATAATTCTTTACCCTTTGCTACATTTCTTTAATCAAACAAATTTATTTAATGAATTCACATTAAATTTAGTTTTAGATATACTTATAGGTATCAGAATTTAGGGAATTTTTTCAAAATTTAATTAGTAAAAATTAACTTTTCATGCAAATCTTGCTATTTTGAATACCCTGTGGGCAGGTATAGCATCCGATTAAAAAAAAAATGTGCCTAATAAAAATACCATACATTTATTATTTATTAAGAAATTCGTGTTAATGCACTTATTTTGTTTAAATGTAATTGTAGTTTTAAGAAAAAAAAAGTTAAGAAATTTACCGATTTCAAAAATTTTAATTTTTAATTCCCTCCATTCTCTTAAATGCGGGAAATCTTTCTTCGTTCCTCATAAAACGAAGTTTATTTCTTTAAATTTTAAGGGTAATGCTTTTAAAAAGATAGGATTTGTATGATATTAACGTATTATTAAACAAAATCGATTTAGTAAAATCTGATAACTTGTGGTAACAAACAAAAATAAACATACATTATAAACAAATTAATACTTTCTTAACTTCGTGTGGAAGCTAAAACAAATTATTATTTCATTTTATTTTTAAACGTACAAATATAACCAAACATTAAGTTTTGTTATTCAAATAATTAAAATGAAGTTTAGGTAAATTAAATTACGATTTTAGTTTGAAGTCTGTGTAATTAAAAAGACTAACGGTTTTAGACATCAACCGTTAATAAAATAAAATAAATATAGGTATATTTGTTGTAACTCATAAAAAAATTAAATACGATACATATTTTATACTTTATTTTATCAAGAACCTGATATGTTAATCCGAGGTCATTAAAATATGGAAAAATTTATATAGTACACAGTGATATCTGTAGAGTTCAGTTTGAAAAAGTAAGGAGACTGCTATAAATTGTGTTTGCGACTCTAACTATTCAAATTTTTGTGGCCAAATTCAATTTCAAATTTTGTTTGAACTACACAATTATGGTAAATTTTGATAAATACTATTGTACTAGTATAAGAAATAGAGTACTAAAGAACTGTATGATAATAATATAATTTTTTTAATCTTTTGGTTTCATAAATACATTTCCTTATTTAATAAATTAAAGTTCATGTTTATTGTGTTATAATTATTATTATTATTTTTTTTTTTTTTAGAATTTTTCAAATAGGGGTATAACAGTTTTGTATATTTTCATACTTAATTCTGTTTTAAATGCTATACCAGCAAATGGACAAAATTTGTTTCAATCTTTCGTAGATACTGTAGCTTCAAGTTTTACATCATCCAGTGAAAATGATATTACTGTGCCTGTAGATCAATTTGATAACAACACTATCGTTGATAATGGTCAAGGTTGCTTTTGCACGCCATTTAATTTATGTAAGACATACGAATCTGATCCTGATGGCTTTTCAAGTATTGATATCAGGTAAATATGATTTATTTACATTTTATTTGTGAAATATTTATATTAAGAAATTTTAGTGAAATAATTTATTGGTACAAGAATTAAAGAGTCAAATATTTCAACTATTTTTTATAAATTTGATGTACATTTTAGGATAAATATTGGACCTTGTCACAGTTATTTAGATGTATGTTGTAACGATACAAATCTTTTAGACATCTCAACTCCTAATTCAGTAGAAGAGAGTTTTTCGGTTGTACCCCATAATTCTTTACCGAAACAAGAAATTACCTCTGTAAGTACTTGTAATTCTGAAACCACGTCAAATTTTGAGCCATCAACTATACACTCTAACGAATACCAACCAACAAGTGTTGAACCTGAATCACATACAAGTACATCAGATTATAGAGACACAACTTCTAATGAAGAAAATAAAGTATCAATTGGCTATGTTTCCACAATTATTCCTGAACCAGAACCTGCTAAAAAGCTTGAATGTGGTAGTTGGAATAAAGCTGGAGTAGGTTTTAGAATTGTTAATGCGATAAATGGTGAGTCCAATTTTGGCGAATTTCCATCAATGATTGCAATTCTTGAAGAAGTTATACCTCAATCAGGGGATGCAAAAAGATTATATAAATGTGGCGGATCTTTAATAAAGCCAAATGTTGTTTTGACAGCCGCTCATTGCGTAATAAAGTAAATAACATAAAAATATGAATTTAAATATTTTTCTATTAATTTGAATACTACAGAGTGATCGTTTTATCACAAACCACTCGATTATTCACAAAATAAATACAATATTGTAAAAAAATTTGATTTCTTTTAGTTACATATATTTCTTGATTTATCACCTTATAATGACTTTTTAGGATCATAACTTAAGTTATCAACTTTATTTATTTAAATGGTAACATACATATTTAATCAACTTATAAAATAAAAAATGATGTAATTAAGAAAATGACTGGTCGATATAACTTTTGGACCAGTATTTTAGAAGTTATTAACTATTTACATTCCCAACCAGCCTAAGTAAACCGATTTAATAGTTATATAAGTTGAAAACATTTTTTTTTTTTGTCCATTACTTCATGAAAATAGGTCATACATTTTATTTATAGAGCAGCAAAATAATTCTAGTACAGGGTGCTAAATATGGCTGTATTCATATTGATCTAAGAGTAAAGCAGACTTTTAAAAATTATTTCTTCGAGGTGAATTAATAAAACATAAAATTTTTTTTTTTAATTAATATGATTTGTGATTGAATAATTATTAAAATACTATAACTCAAGAACCTTAAATAATAAAAAATATAACTGATTACAATAGTAAATTTTTTTTCTATTTTGACACTAAAAGCCTTAAAAAACTTAGAGAATTTTTTTTTAATTCATATTTTTTTTAGAAAAGATCCTTCGAATTTAGTGGTAAGAGCAGGCGAATGGGATTTACAAACAGAAAAAGAACTTCTTGACCACCAAGACCGCCGAGTATCTAAAATCGTTATTCACGAAAAGTACTATGCGGGAGGACTTCATTTTGATGTAGCTTTATTATTTATAGAAGAACCTTTTCATCTACAAGATAACATTCAAACCATATGCTTACCAGAGCAAGATCAAAAGTTTGATTTTTCACTGTGTTATTCTAGTGGATGGGGTAAAGAGGTCATATATAATAACTATATAATCACTAAAAACACACCAGAAGGTGTAAAAAGTAAATATCTCATTTGTATAATTGAGATATTATTTAAAAACATTTATTTTTATAATATTTATTTAGGTGAACTTGGACATTATCAAGTCAGTATACTTAAAAAAGTTGAACTCCCTATTATACCAAGAGATACTTGTGAGAGTACCTTAAGACAATCCAGACTTGGTCCAAGATTTATGCTCCATCAAAGTTTTATTTGTGCAGGAGGTGAAGAAGGAAAAGACACCTGCAAAGTAAGATAAATTTTATTTTAAATTACATTTTAGTATTGAAATACTTATTATTTATAGTTGTGCGAGTTCGGTTTTGTAAAAGTTAAACAACTTTCGGTGTTAATATTATATTTTTTTATATAAGATATCATCATATTCTTATAATGACATTTTAACATTAGGTCTAAATTATTACGATAACTAACTATAACGTATTTTTTTTCATTGTAAAGTTATGATTTTCTTATTTGCAAATAATCAAAAATTAATAAGTCTTATACAAATCTAAAAACTCTTTAAAAAAATCGTTATTTTGTACATAAGTGCACCTGGAAAAATATTTGTTGGTATATACTATTTATTTTTCCCTCAAATATATTTTATTATAAGTACAACACATGATTCTTTTAATTTAAACCCTTTGATCCCCATATTTGTGCTCATAATTATATTACTTTATAAAATGATAACTAATAATACGTATTATAATTTCAGAAAAATTAATTATAAACATTTATTTTTGATATTTTATATTATTATAGGGCGATGGAGGTAGTCCATTAATGTGTCCATTGGATTCTGATTCAAATTATTTGGTTCAAGTAGGAATCGTTGCTTGGGGAATAGGATGCGGTAACAAACTACCAGGAGTTTATGTAGATGTAGCTTACTTCAGAAATTGGATAGATAATAAAATATTATCATAGAAGATTGCTATACTCGTGTTTTAAATAGATATTTTACTTTTATAAATGTCATTCATTAGATTAATTAAATAATTTAATTAGTTATAGATATTAGATTATGTGACTAATAGTATCATTGTTGATATATAAAACTCAAATTTCAATTTTTTGAGATTTATCTTATATTAATATATTATAATATTGCTATTAATATTAATAATATTTTTTGTTATTTATTAATATTTAAAGACTATTCGATCGATATAAGTATAATCATGTTTATTTTATGTAACTGAATAATATGCCATCTTACAATTAAGTCTATTCATTTAAAACAATTTTTACAAATGCACTTTGCTAGTCACGCTTATTTTTTATACACGCATACTTTAAATCCTTGCTTTAACATCATTTTATTAGTTTTTATTCATAGAAAATGACTCATATTTTATTAAAAACTAAAATTTCGAATTAAATTTCATTATTATATGGTATATACATGGATAAAACGTTAGAAGATCAAGGTGAATAATGAAATAATCAGCACCCGTGAATTTTACATTATGAACAACATCTCTCATTTTAATATTACTGAAACAACAGACAATCTCACAAAAATATTCAACTAAATATCAACTAATGCATCTTGGCTGCCACCTTAACTGCAAACATGATGTACACCAAACAATTATTCAAATAAAAATTATTCAATTCTATTATATAATTAGAAATCACTCTGAGCTATCCTTTAAGGACGAATATTTGCTATTCATACCGATCATAAAACCTATTTAAAATTACGGAATTCAATTATGGACTGTACTAGTAAGTCTAGCATAGAAATTATACAATATTATCAAAATTTCGCCTTAGTACCATCGTCACAGCTTATCGATTACACAGATATAACATAAATCACCAGGTTATCTGGGCTACAATCAAAATTACCCACTACTAAGCTAACACTATTTAAAACACTTAAGATAAATCAATAAAAAATTTAATTTGTTAGAATTCATAACATTTTATTGTAATGAGTCTGATAAAATTATATTTGAATGTAGTAGAATGGACATTTTTTAATTTTCTGAACACTATTATACGTTTGAAATTGTGTATATAGAAGGTACTTTCTATTTTTAAGTGAACAAAATAACAAAAATAAATGTGTATAAACTTATAATTACTGGTTAAGTCCTAGATATAAGTATAGGATGAATTTATTATAAAATTATATATATACAGAGTGATCGGTTTATCACAAACCTCACGATTATTCACAAAATAAATACAATATTGTAAAAAAATTTGATTTCTTTTAGTTACATATATTTCTTGATTTATCAGCTAATAATGACTTTTTAGGATCATAACTTAAGTTATCAACTTTATTTATTTAAATGGTAACATACATATTTAATCAACTTATAAAATAAAAAATGATATAATTAAGAAAATGACTGGTCGATATAACTTTTGGACCTGTATTTTAAAAGTTATTAACTATTTAAAGAAACACTGGTGATGAGGAGTGAGTGCAACTATTTTTATCACTAGTTATTTCCCAGTCGTACTCTTCGTCACGCCTAAGTATAAAAATGAGAATAACTTCCAAAAGTAGTTATCGACCAGTCATTTTCTTAATTACATAATTTTCTTTTTTATAAGCTGGTTAAATATATATGTTGCCATTTGAAAAAATAAAGTTGACACTCTTTTAAGTTATAAAAAATGATTCTATAAATTATTATTAACTGATAAATCAATAAAAAATTTCATGTTATTCTAATTTGAAAAAAAGTCTTATGACAGAATAACAACAAAAAATATATATATAGTATGTGACAGAAAATATAATTGTACTTTTTTTTAGAGAAGTGTTTTATTTCTACCATTTTCCCATATTTATCATATAGTAAGATTGAATAACCTTACTATATGATAAATGTTATAACTAATTCATGTTTTTTATTGCATTAATTACTATTTTTATAATTATTATTATTATTATTTATGCTATGTATTGAAACTTTTACTATTAATAGCTTACTTATTGTAAATTTATGAAGTCCTGGGCATAAAATTTGATTATTTTTCCGGAAAGAGGGTTATTATTCTAGTCATTATAGATTAGATATAGCTACCAACTACATTTGTATAAGTCATTTTATCGAATTAGATCATTTACTCATTTAATGTATTTTAATGCCTATTGTTGTTATGCTGTTCATAACTAAAATATAAATATTGAATTATTTTTAAATCAATACATTTTTTAATTGAAACAAATCAATAATACACTATTTTCAATAGAGCCAAAAAACCTGCTAAAGTGTTCAAGGCTATTGTATACAAATACAAATATTATAATTCAGATCCTTCCATTCTTTAACAAATGATGCTAGTGCGTATACGACTTTTAATAAATATACTGTAAAAAAAGAAAAATTATTACAGAGAATTATTTTTGGTTATATTTAATTAATAACAAAAAGTATAGCAGGAATTATTAGTGATGAACTTATCAAACAAATTTTCATAGATCAAAAAATAAGGTAAGTTTTTTTTGTATTTGTTATTTATTTAGTGACAATTTAAACAATTCTAACAGATTGTATCTGCAGGAAAAGTATTAAGTAAAGATTTTTAATATTTTAGAAAACAACAAAAATTGTAATCAAGGACCATTTTAATTATAATTTCACCGAATAACATTAATTAATTTTGTCATGTGACTTAAATTAACGCTTCTTTTGTAGACACAATTTATTTTCATATTCATCCAATTTTCAGACATTAAAAAATACTTTTTGATAATTTAAACATCTAGACTTAATTTAATTTTATATTTGTTCTTATAGAATTTTATGGCACAAGATTGAGAAACATGAAATCTTTCGTTTTTGCATTTTATTTTATTCTATTTATAAACGCGTATGAATTTCAAAAATCTGCTCGAGAATATTTAACACCACTGCTTCCTTTAGATGATGGTCATAAATTTCCATCAATCATATTAAACCCAGCATCATCACGAATTAAAAACGATTGTGTTTGTACTCCTTTTCATTTATGTAAAACATTTGTTTTATCAACGACTCCATTTGACGTTACGGATGCAGATGGGTGATTATACATTATTGTTATTATTAGATTTATATTTATTATATATATTTTATCTAATCTATTGATTAGTATTCTTATAATTAGGAAAATTTCTATATAAATGGTTTGGATAAATTTCATGTATAAAAAAATTTTTTTTTTTATAAAATAATATTAATATCTTTCAATAAACATTGCAATATAAATAATTATAATAACAAATTTAATTACAAGGACATTAACATCATGATAAGGAAAACGCCCATTAACAATTCTCAGAAATTAATGTATATATATATATATAAAACCATTGAAAGTTATGTCAGTATTTTTTTTTTTTTTTAGAAATAAAAATTATAAAAGATTGCTTGTAAACTTATACATCTTTTAATTTTACTACACATAGCTATTATGTGTAAAATATTTATAATCACGAAAAAATAAAATACATGAAAAATAAATTATATCTTATCTTTGATATTTGTACACTGTCTATTTTTAAACAAACAACTTTAAAAACAAAAATAAAATATGTTTATAATGATATGTTTATAATATTTGATGATACAAAATATACAAAGTTAATTCAGAACGAAACAATCACTTTGGAAAATAATTTATTTTAGAAAATATCAAACAAAACCAAAGAAATGTTTGAAATCATTAGAAATTTGCTGTGACGATACTATTTTAATCGGTGAAAATAAACAGATGAAACAATCCTATGAAACTAGTACAACTTACGATCCATTTGACTTATCGGATCAATCAACCAAAAAGTGGAATCACAATATACACTCTACTGAAATTTACTCGGAGAAAAAATATGAAAATTCGAACAAAGAAGAATTTGATTTCAAAAAAGAGCATGATACACATTATAAATCAAAAAAATGTGGTATATGGAATGAATATGGATTTGGAATAGGATTAGGTGGTGCTACTGATTATACAGCAAGATATGGCGAATTTCCATCTACTATTGTTATTTATGTAGAAGAAATACTTCAAAATTGGAAGAAGTCGTTAAAATATCAATGTGGAGGATCACTAATAAAAGAAAACGTCATTTTGACAGCAGCTCATTGCATTATCAAGTAATAAATAGCATTTGTAAATTAGGTTAAAAAAATAACTTTTATCGTTCAATTTTATTTTCATTGCATTTTAATATTCATTATTTGAAATACACACTAAGATCGTGGTTATTATAAAATTAATATATCTTTTTTCTTTATTTTTTTTAGTAAAGATTTACAAAGTATTCTTGTACGAGCTGGAGATTGGGATCTAAATACAGAAAAAGAATTGTACTTGCATCAAGATCGACACATTTCTAAAGTTGTTATTCATCACAAATACTACTCAGGAGGATTACATAATGATATAGCTTTAATATTTACTGATGAACCTTTTACTTTACAAGAAAATGTTCAAATTATGTGTTTACCCAAACAAGATCAAATATTTGATTATATTAGGTGCTATTCAAGTGGATGGGGTGATTAAATTATTATACAGAGTGTTCAGTAAGTAAGGAAACAAGTCAGTTGTTACGAACAATAAGAACAATAGAAACCCGTTTCCTTACTTACTGAATACTCTATATAACTTTACTAAATAATATTAAAAAAATAAGATAATAAGATACCTTCTTTTAGGCATTAAAATTATATAAGACATAGTTTTAGTATTATTATTATTTAACAGACGCTAAGTTTTATATGATAATCATATTATAATTTTAGGAGAAACAGATAAACGTAAGATAAGTAAAATGAAAAAAATTGAAGTACCAATTGTTCCGAGAGATTTATGTGAAGATCGACTAAGGCAAACTAGATTAGGATATAAATTCAATTTGCACGAAAGTTTCATTTGTGCTGGAGGCGAAGGAGAACAAGATACATGTAAAGTATGTATAGGGAATGATTAAAGAAATTAAAAATATTTTAACTTATTCACTATTGAGATACTAAGGATAGAAGTATAATTTCTTTTTTATATTCAATAGTAACTAATTTTTATTAACACACATATAATAATAAATTAGATTGTCAACTGGTTTGGTCATGTTAGAGAGTGAAACCATTTGAATGGTTGTGATTGCAAATATATTTTTCAATAATAACATTTTTTGGTTTGATAACATAAAATTTTGAACATTTTAATGTAACTTTTTTTATAAGCAAATATTACGTTATAATAATATCCATAAAACGTTTACATTCAATGAAAATCACTTGCATAACAAAATTAACTTAATAGTTCTTGTGTATAAAATTAATAACAATCGGTATTTAATAAAACATTATTATTGAAAAATCATAGATTATATGTTTCTAGGGCTTCAATAAAAGAACACATTGTAACAAAATAATGATAATAGATTTATCATAAATGTTAAACCATTAGTGTTTTGTGTTGTGTTGAACGATTAAACAACTAAACTTAAACCCTAATTGTACACCGTTATAGGTCCAAATAACCTATATTGAATAGCTATATAATGGCTATCCAAAATATTTTAACATTTTGAGTGAACTTTTCTTCAACTGATCGACGATTCATAAACCGTCTATGAATTTGGTGCACACACAATGCTTGAACACAACATTAAACTTAAAAAATGCTACTCGATTTGGATGGGTTGATATAGAGAATGATAATGTTAGGCATAAAGATCATGATGGATTATTGGGTTTAGTTGTTATTACAAATTAGCAATATAAAAAAACTGTTCTCTATATTCACAATAACTCTATAACATTAACACAATATACAATATAATATATTGCAATCATACATATAATAATACAATATCATTTATTATTATGTATTAAAAAGATTACAGTTAAAAGGTTTATCAGAAGACCAATTTAAGCAAAATTCTTTAGTTATAATTATTTTAGAAAATTTATATTTAATTTTTGTTTTAATTTGAAGTAATTGAAAGAGATATATTATTGTCAAAAGATATTCGTTTGATTTTTCGCTGTATAACTATAAATTAAATATTACTGTAAATGACATTTGCTTAATTAATTGCATCCCGATTTTATGATTGGAAATTATAATGAAATTACAGAATAGATATGTATGATCTATACTTTGAGTTATATCATGAATATTCACATTTATTTTTTCAGGGTGATGGTGGAAGTCCATTAATGTGTCCAAGTGAAACTGGTACAAAATCGTTAATACAGGCTGGAATAGTCTCTTGGGGAATAGGATGTGGAATAAAAAATATACCAGCAGCATATGTTAATGTAGCTAATTTTAGAAATTGGATAGATGGAGAAATAGAAACATAGAATACTTATTTATTTCTCAAATATAATTCTAAAATGTTTTTGTATTCTTTTAATGTGTTAATCCTTATATTTTACGAAAAACGTTTAACTTACCTATAAATTGATGAGATATGTTGGCTTTAGGAATCATGTATATTAGAATCTCTTATGTGCATAAAAGATTTGAATTAGAAATTTGCGTTTGAATTAGAATCTTCATTATCAAAACATGTTCTAAAAAATTTAAGTAATATAAACTAACATTCTTGATTTGCCTAACAAATACCCATCGTGTTAAGGTATAATATAAATTATAAATAAATAAGTTTTATAATAATCGAACGGATTTTAATTTGTAGCTAGGCTGTAGTCAATCCGATTAATTTCCTTAAATGCAATAGTTAAAATAATTAAATTAGTGTCAACCAACTTTTTAGCAAAAAAGAATAATAATAATAATTACATAAATATCAATTATAAAAGCTATATTTCCATAAAAAAAATACAAATACATTAATTTTACATACAACTTCGTTTTTATTATTGGTAATTATTTAATGATGATTTAGCTCAACCTTTTATTTATTTTTTACTATTTTATAAAAAAGATAATAATACCTAACTGCAATCTATTGGAGAAAGGATGCATAATAATATATAATTATATATTATATATTGCATATAATTGTATTTTCATAAGTTATTGCAACGAAAAAATAATATATAATAATAAATCACTTGTCAGTATAACAAAGAATTACCTACGTTTTGTATTTTTCGCGTGTATAAGTTATGAGTAAAAATATATGGCATACTTGAAAACATATTATTAATGATACTTTTTTCTTGTAATTTATTTTTTAAATATCAGTTTGACATCAACATATTATACTTAATTGAATAAATAAAGTATTTCCAAGCCTATAACTACACTTAACTGAGTAACCAGTGAAACTATAAGGAATTAATGTATAGATTGCGTACAACATTCTACAGCTCATACATTATTTTAATTGAGGCTGTCATAATAATTAAGGCGTATTTATAATATTAATTTCACTAAAAACTTTTATACATGCAAAATTAATATAAATGTGTTCCTATATCTTAATGACGGAAAACCCAGGTATTCACATTCCAATAATAATCATTATGCTGTTTTTCAAAACATGAATGTTTTATAAAAAAAAATAACTTGTAAATCAAGTTACTATTATAAATAAACAAATTCCCCGAGGCATTAAATTTAATATAATACTATATATTTTAAACACTTACTAATAAAAAAAAATATTTACATGTTTCACAAAAAAATAACTGTTCCAACCATGCAAATTATTATTTTGTGGATTATAAACTATAATTATTACAGTACCTTTATTTAAAGAAAAATTGTAGAAGATCATAATTATATCATATAAAATTGTGTTTCATTTAACACAATATAGTATTAGATACATATTATTTTATCTTTGGTAAAATGTCATGTTAATAATATCCCTATCATTAAATAAAAAAATATATATATGTATAATTTTCATTAACCCTTTCCGACCAACTGGCTATTATAATGACCAATCTTTACAATAATTTATAACTTATAAACGAATAATTGTAGATTTCAATTTTAGTTGATTCGATAGATTACCGCATATAGAATTAGAATAAAAAATATTAAAAGCATTTTTTACGATTTTTAATATTGATTAATATACTTTTATACAAATAAATATATTAAAAAACAAAAATTAAGAAAAAAATTTTTTCCGTTTTTCATAAAATATTTGTTAGATAGCGTTGTAAATTGTTGTACATTTTGCTATACGCAAATAAAAATGAGGTTTCATGATTACCGAGAGTCTTACTCCACTCCTTTTCTACTGAAATGCATTGATTGTGTGGGACATTATAATGACCAACCGGTTATCGTGACAGCAGTGGACAGCGACACTCTTATGGCAATAATAATATTACTGTGTGCAGCGTAGTACATTCAATTTTTTATTTATAAGATAGCCGGTTTCATCAAATATATTATTTTTGTTATTTTACGTATTGAAAACATAAAAATAGTACGACATTTTTATCAGGCCTAAATATTGTGGACTTGTTAGACCATTATCCATAAATGGATAGCTTGAAGAACGTCACGAAGTGCAAAAATCAAATATGCTCAAAAAACAATCGAACTCATTTTTTTTTTTTTGCAAGAAATTTAATGTCCATTTACAAGAGCTATCTCTTGTACATTTTTTTGAAGAATATCATACTATAGTATAAACAAAAGTCAACAAAAAATAAAAAACAAATTTATTTTATGCTACTAATTTTTCTTTTATAATAAAAAATATTAAATTATATTATATATTAATTCATTATAAATAAATTATCAAAACTAAAGTTTGTTTTTCTTTTCATCAATTTCACACAATAACGTAACGAACGTTAAGGTATGATAGTACATATAATCAATAGACTGTATAATCAATAAATGTATAAATAAAACTGAATATTTTTTATAATACAAAACTAGTTTTATGTTTGATTATAAGGTTACGTAGGGTTAATCAATAAATATATTTTAATAAAAATCAATATTAAAAAATTATTTGTAAATTGAGCTAAAATTGTGATTGGAGAGGTGGAAAGTTTTAAGTAATTAGGGTCAGTTGTGCAAAAGAGTGGTGGTATTGACGAGGATGTAAGATACAGGATTAAGTGCGGATGGTTGAAGTGGAGAGAAGTGTCTGTCGCCTTATGCAATAAAATAATTCCAATGACACTATAAGGTAAGTTCTATAAGGCAGTAGTGAGACTAGCTATGGTGCATGTTTTAGAGTTTTGGGCAGTTCACAAGAGAATAAAGCAGATAATGAGTGTAGCAGAGATGAGAATGCTTAGATGGATGAGTGGAGTGACTAGAAAAGATAGAATAAGGAACGAGCATATAAGAGAGAATATAGACGTAGCGTCAATTGTAGATAAGATGAGAAAAAATAGACTTAGATGGTTTGGTAATGTTATGAAGATAGAGGATTTGAAAACTGTAAGAATTGTTATGGAAATTAATGTTGATGGAAGAAGAGGTAGAGGAAGACCAAAAAAGAGATAGAGGGATGTTATTGAATGCGATATGAGGACAAGTGATGTGGGAGATCGTATCAAGTGGAAGTTTAGGATAACGATGGCCGGACCCAATTAATTAGGATTAATGCGAAGAAGAAGATTGTCGATTTTATTTTTATTTGATCTTTAGTAAAAATATTTCGTTTTATTATTAAAAAAGGTAAAACAAGAAATGAATCTTTTTATATTTGGTACTTCATGCTAATCAGTAAACTAACTAGCGCTCCATGTGTTGATTTTTTTTCAAATGGTAACTATACAACTTACTCAACCAGATCTAGTTGCCTTGATAAATTTTGAGGTATATATATTCTTCTTCCTCGCCTTAATCTCAATTACTTGGGGTCAGGCATCCTTATCCTAAACTTCCACTTGACACGATCTCCCATATCAGCTTTTCTCATATCGCGCTCAATAGTATCCCTCCATCTCTTTTTTGGTTTTCCTTTACCTCTTCTTTCTTTAACATTCATATCTATAACTGTTCTTACATAGAGGGATGTTATTAAATGTGATATGAGCTGATCTGTGCGTCAATGATGTGAGAAATTGTGTCAAGTGGAAATTTAGGATAAGGGTGGCTGACTTCAACTATTTGGGATAAAAGTGAGGTAAAAACAGAAGAAGAAGATTTATACAGTTACGTGTTACCGAAAAATTTGTAATATTATAGAATGGTAGTATAACACACAAATATAGTTAAAAAAAGAATATATAACAAAGTAAAATTATTTAACTTTGTACTTAAAACCTATTATCATATCAAACGTTATTCGACAATAAATACTATTAAGATGTTAGAAATTAATGATTTTAATTGTTTAAATAGAGAAATTGGTCGGTTTTAGTAACTTTTTAATTGTAAAGGTAAATTTTTTTTCAATTTTTGAGGGTTATATTTTTAATTAGATACTATTTGTGATCATTTGACGTATCGTTGACAAATATTGGTCTAGTAAGAGCCGAGAAAAATTTATAACAGTAACAAAATAAAAACCCTATTGTAAAATAATTATAATATGAATAAGAAATTTTTTTTTCAAAAGAGGAGAATAAAGAGATGGGGTCCTCAATATTCATTGAAGTTATTAATCTCAATGAGATAGAAATTAAAGAAATTTTTTTTTCCACCTCAAAAAAATTTTAAAAAAATGCAAAACAAATATTATTGTGGTGAACGAGATCGAACCTCATACTGTAGGATAAAACTAATACCGCCGCGGCAATCGTACATCACAGGAACTGTTAGCTAAAAAAGGAAAAATTAAGCTGGTTCAAAAATTCAAAATCATTCTCATTCAAAATAAGTTTAATTTAATATTCAATATAACTTTTATGTAAATCAGTGACTTGATTATTATAAAAAAAACTCTTGTAAGAAATTTTAAAATAAAAAAATTGCCTAGCTGCACATATTTTAAAAAGTAATTTTTTTAAAAATGTACACAAAACAATATAATCTTGAATTTTTTTGGAGGGGAACCCTTACGCTCTTTTAATAATTTTGGAAAATGTAAAAAAATATTGACTAGAGATGAAGAGTAGGTTCTGCTATTTTTATAACTAAACATTTCCTAATCGTACTGTGCCTTTCACTTAGATATAAATATGTCAATATCTACAAAAATACTGGTCCAAAATTAGAGTGCTTATGCTTCACCTGCGTTTTATACCTTCTGTTGTGATGTCGTTGTAATGTGAAATGAAAGTACAGAGTGATACAACGGTTCAAATACGATTAATAACTGCTTATTTTTTGTCTAATACTAATTATTCCCTAACCCCATCAATGAGGGAGATTTCCCTCATTTACAGGAAACAAGGGAAATTTTTTCAATTTAAAACGACAATGTCTTTGGCTAGATATGATTTGTGATCTTTTGACGTATCGTTGAAAGAAATCGTTTCGGTGAGAGCTGAGAAAAAGTGATAACAGACATAAAAATAAATAAATAAAGAAAACACATCATAATAAAACGAAGCGAATAACAGATTTTTAAAAAAAATCTAAAATATGTGTTAACAAAAGTTATGGGAAAAAAAAGTAGTTTAATGATACCTTATACATGAACAATTTTTGTGTCCCTCCCATTATAAATTTCTAAATATGCCACTGCTCATTCTATAGTAGACGTAATCTTTATCAAATAGCATAACATAAGGTTGAGTAGGGAGGCTATTTGGGAAGGTATATTTTATATGATTAGGTATTTTTATTCAAATATAAGGTAACGAGTAAAAAATAAATAAATAAATGATAGTATCTATGATTTTGCCTAATGTTACAAAATATCTGGAATTGGCAATGATATTTATTTTAGCTTCTTTGTATAGTTGTAAAGATTTTTACATACATTATTGTAAAATTATTTTCAAAAGAAATTAAAAATTTTTTTTTTGTATATCCTTAAATTATCCGAGGGTAATTATGTAACATAATAGAATGTAAGTCATCAAAAAAGACTAAACGTTTACTTAATGACAACAATTTAAAATTTTGTATAATTCGATACGTTTGTCACATTTTTAGCTTCGATGCGAAGCTGAGAAGGTATTAATTTTAATATGATGTGTTTTTTTTTTATGTTTGTTGCCACTTTTTCTCAGCTCTCACTGGACCGATTTCTTTCAAAAATACGTCAAAAGATCACAAATAGTATATAGTTGGAGACATTACCCTAAAAATTGAAAAAAATTCCCTCGTTTCTCGAAAATGGATTTTTTTTTTATAATCATTTATATGATTGGTTCAAAAATTTTTAAAAAAATTTGAAAATCCCGATTTCGAAGAAAAGAAATCTAATTATTGTTAATTAATATATATAGTTAATAACTGTGAAAGATGTATTGTCTTACCTTATTAAACTTTAAAAATTTTTCTTTTTTTAAAAAAAAAATTTAAATTTAGTTTGTATTAATTGATGATTTTATAAAATAATTACATAAATAAGTTAATAAGATTCTTTTAAATTTTAGAACATTAAACCTTTTGAAGTATTTTTAGCATTTAACCTATACCTTATCACATCAATTTCATTTAAGATAACAATGTTATTTTTAATTTTATAAAGTTTGCAGCTATTATATCTTTGAAGATAGAAGAAAACAAAATTATTTTTAATGCAAGACTACAATTTTTAGTTATATTGAAAAGAAAAGTCGATTTCATAATGTTAACTAAAAAATCATGGTAAGGTAAATTGGGTTGAACACAACACTATTTAGAAACTTTATCTATGAAACTATGTCTTTAGAAAATAAAAATTAAGTTTTTGACATTGGTGGAAGCTAAAAAATAATGGACTTAAATGAAAGCTAGCAAACTAATTTCAATTTATAATTACTTGGAGCCCTTTTTAGCTTCGATACAAACTTGAGTGGGTTAAACTGTATTGTTTTGTTTTATTAAAATTATATCATCACAACTACATATTAAAAAAGTACAAAAGTTCATATTAAATTAAAAGTAAAATAAGCTAGTTATAATTAATTTTAGAAATAATCCAATTCAAATATTTTGTCATTCTAGTATAAACAGCTGGAAATCCAGATTCTCCACATTTATCTCCAAACGATTGAATACCGGTTAAATAATATTGGTTGTCTTTTTTCCATGTTAATGGTCCTCCGGCATCCCTCTAAAATTAATTATAATAAACACGTTTTGTTTATTTTTATATAAATAAATCTGTTAATAGGAAAAGAAATAGTTTTCTAGTTTAGTTAAAATCTTTAGTAGTAGATGATAAAATATTTTTTGTAGAAATTCCTTATTATTACCCTTCAAATTTGATAAAATATATGTAAAAATGGTCTTTACATTATTTAAGTAAAATAATATGTAATAAGTGACACATTTGAGCTATAAACAGATAATAGTAAAAGGTCGTGAAACTTCTTGCATATATAGATGAATTAAATTTAATATAAAAGGCAATAAAAACTGCCAATCTCTCTCACTACTACTTCACCTTTATGAACTTTCAACGAATGCAAAAAGTAGCTTGACAAAATACGAATTTATATAGAAAATTAAAGTATATTCTTTTTTTCAACCTTACTCTTAATATAGTAAGGTAAATTCATATTTCACCAAATATTTATAAAGTTTGAAGTCAAAAGTAATGAGAATATAAATTAAGTAGGAAACCAAAAAAATAAAGTGATCTCTAGAAAAAAATAATGTTTAAATAATTAAAGTGAATCAATAACGTTTATATGAAGTTAGCCAGCCTAGTCCAATCTTTGAGTGGGTTACCTTAATTGACCATACGTCAATACTAATAAAGACTCTCTTGTGTAGATAGAGAACCCACTTGTGGTTCCTATACTACTTGAGATATTTATTGACACGACTCACAGTTAGCACAAGCCTAGATAACTACTGGTATGAGTGGCGTTGTTGATAATCTATGTATGATAATTAATCATAATAATTTCTGTATCAAATTATTATTATATTAACAAATGTTCAAACATCACTTTGCTTTTCTATATTTTATAACTTCTCGTAAAACCCTCATACTCATATCCCGAAAAAAAATTATATTATATCATTTTATTCAATAAATATTATAGTAACTCAATTATTATCATGCTCATACAAGACCAACAAAATATAACTAATTTTAATAAATTAAATAATTTTTTATCATTAATTAGATTTTATATTTCTTTTTTTGAGTTACTATGAATTTTAAAACTAAATAACGCATTATCTAATATTTTATCTTTACCGAACATGTATGTTTTGCTCCTTTTAAATTCCCTGCGCAAATATGTACTTCTTGGATAGTTAAATTATTAGCAAATATACGTTTGCACTCTTCATTACTAACCACTGAAACTTCAGCCTCTGTTAAGGCATTATTCTTTGGTCCATCTAACAAAATAATTTGATTTGTATTATATGTTATGAAGTACATATTATGTATTTCGTAAATGTTTTAATTATTATTTCAATCAGTATTTTTTTTTATTATTTACTACATATTCTAAGTAGAAAAGTATTTATTAATAAATCCTTATTGTATTATAAACTGTCCTTAAAAATTTAAAGAGTATCAAATATTTATTAGATAAATCATACCAAGTATTGTAGCACCCCAACCGGCAACATATTGCAAAGTTTTATCAAATGAATTCGCTTTTAAAGTTGTTGAAGAAGGTAAACATATAGGTTGAATGTATTCTAAAAAAAATTAAATTTTTAATTAATAAGCATTTAATATATACAGTATGATTTATTAATATTCATATTTATGTATACTACCAAACATTTTTCACCAAATAATGAATTCTCCATAAAAATGTACAGATATAAATATAATTTTTTTTTTTTTGAAGCATAGAAATTGTTTCTATTAGTCCCAATTTTAATTCATATAATATTTGTTAGGTTTGTCTTAGATGATGCTCTCTAGCCACAAAATTCAATTTATGTAAAGAAGAATTCAATAATAAAACTTTAATTTTGCATTTTTTCAATTTTTCATTTTAAAGCATTTTTGTCAGTTTTTAGACCATTTTTACTCATATAAAAGCACAAAGGGACGGTGTAGCCGAGTCGGTAATGCGGCAGTGCTTGACGCGCACTGCCTCGGGTTCGAAACTCGGTCACGGGCGGCTTCATTTGCTGAACGAGAGATCAGTTCGGTAATTGGAGTCGCCATCCCACTCTCCGACGACAGACTAACCACCCGTCCCGGAGTATAAATGGTTAAGAAAACCTCCTCCTAGAGAGAGCACGCTATGGCCCCTAATGGACTAAATGGAATAAAAGCAATAAAAACACAAATAAGCGAAAAAAAGACAAATAGCTATTTTTTTTGTTCAAATTAGGTAAATTAATAGCGCGTTTTACATAACAACGAAATGTATATAATATATATATACATTTATATTTATATTTATTGTATGCAAAATTATAAGTAGGCCATTAGTTACACCAAAAATATAATTTGAGAAAATTTTTTATTAGTATAAACTTGATATTTACTATTGGTCAAAGAAATAAATTAAATTTATTAATATTGTGCATTATTATGTAAAATTCTCCATTTGATTAAAATTAGGGATAGTGTTTAAAATAAATCACACTGTATTACATTCAACGTTACAGAATTTTCATTCTATATATTAACCATGTTGCTATAGTAGCTTCTTATAGTTATAAAAACACTATAGATACATTATAAAAAGAAAAAGATTATAATAAAAGTTAAGATTTACAACTCTCTATTTATATGTTTTTTTTTAGCTTCGATTTGAAGCCGAGAAGGTATTAAGTTTACCATGATTATAATTTTTTTTTTAGCTTCGATGTGTATTTTTGTGTGTGTCTGTCACTATATTTTTTCAATACTCACTGGACCGATTTTTTTTTACGATAAAAACTTTTATAACTGTGATAATTGTGTTCCATGTTAAGTTACATTGACAATAGATATTGATATGTCTGACGCGTATTTAAATTGACAGGCGTAGTTAAAAAATTATACAGGAATAGTAAAAATAAATACTAAAATTAATTTAATAATTTCTTATTTATATAGAATACTTGGTACTATAATTGAGCGTATTTTTAGAATCATTAATTAATCTAGTATTGCTACAAAACTAATAAAATTATTTTAACTTTGGTGCAAAACTAAAAAAATTATTTTACTATGTGTTTCTTTTTATTTTTGTTTGTTTGACACCAAAAGTCCTCAGCGATCATCGAATCTATTTCTTTCAACAATACGTCAAAAGATCACAAATTGAAATTTTTTTCCTTTGTTCTTAGTAAATGATGGATATCTCCAAAAATTTGTCTATTTTTAAAATCAAAAAAATTACCCATATTTCATTAATTTATTTTTTAAATAATTTGTTTCCCCTTTGAGAATATTAAGAATATTTTAAGAATATTTGAGTAGCTACTATTAATAAAATCATTCTGTATTTCATTCCTTCAATGTATCATAATCCATTGATAGTTAAAACAATTTTTTTAAAAGCCTATTCATTTAATATACATATAGGATTAAAATTGAAAATTTTAAAAATTCTATATGACTGTAAAAAGCAAACATGAGAGATGGATTTTTCACACAAAAAGCATGTATTTTAACTATGGAGGACGGTTGTGCATTAATGGTAGGATTTAAGGAAACATTTTTTTTTTTACAGAAACTGTATAACAACTTATTTTTTATAATTTTCCGTAAAAATACAGTGCACAGTTATTAAATATAAGTTTGATACTTAAACATGTTTGAAAATAACAAATATTTTTCATGTATTATACTTATAAATTATAAAACTTATATTTAGGATATAAAAGAGGAAATAAGGTTCATGTTGCTTTTAGAATAATGCAATAAATCTTTCTAATCTGTGATTTATCACTATAAATTAAAGTAGTTATAACTACTTATTAAATAATAGGTACTGTTCGTTATTTTTAGTGGAACTAAAGCCAGTCATTGGAATGTTAATAATATTCATACTCACATCATGTTTAGTGTGAAAAGGTGGTGTTTACTTCTGTCCTTTTTTATATAACATAGTCAGCGGTTAATATCGTCGAATAAAAACAGAAAAATTCAAATTTTTACGAAATTTAAAATGTTACAAAAAATTAATGAAAACCAAATATTAATGAGAATTTTTTCACCAAATTATTTTTAGCTTCGATGCGAAGCTGAGAAGATATTGGTTTTACTATGATGTGTTTTTTTTTTATTATTACTTTTTTTTTTTTTGTGACTATTATCACTTTTATTCAGCTTTCACCAACGGATTTCTTTCAACGATACGTCAAAAGATCACAAATCGTATCTAGTCGAAGACATTACCCTTAAAAATTGAAAAAATTTCCCTCGTTCCCCGTAAATGGGAGAAACCTCCAAAAAAATAACAAATTTAAAATTCACTAATTTTCGAAATTTTTTCAATTTTTTTTACTAAAAACTGCTGTAACTTTTTCAAAAATGAACATATCAATATAACTTTTTTTATATAGTTATTTGATGTCTTTACTTATCATTTGATATATTTTTTTTGTAAGTCCAACACTTAACCTGCCCACAGGAGGGGATTTAAAATGACAACTTTTTACCAAAAAATTATACTTGATCCAATTATGCCACGTCAACACTATGCCGCGACACCCCTGTGCTGGGTTTTTTTTAATCTACTCTAAAAAATGGCTATTTTAAAAAGTTTTTAAACATTTTTCGTAAATTTTTAAAATTAATTTTTTTTAAATTTAATTATAAAAATGATATTAATTAAATTATTATTATAACCCTCGAGTATATTAACTATTAAAAAAAAAATTTGCAAAAAAAATTAACTAGAACAAAAGTTATTTAAGTTGTTATTGAATGCTGGGCCACCTGTAAATGCTTATATAACTATATAGAATAAATTACTCAAAATATAGTATTTCTCAATTTCCAGATACTTTATTACAAACTAAAATGAATGGTTTTATTATTTTTGAAAANTTTCCAGATACTTTTTTACAAAACTAAAATGAAAGGTTTTATTATTTTTGAAAATGTTTTTTTTTTGTTTATTAATATAACTAAAGGTGTGTGATTCCCTATATTGAAAGTATGTAGTTTTTTTCCTTAAATGGTTAAATGTTAAAAAACATTTTTATAGAATAATTTTTTAAATTACTATCTAGGACATGGAATATGATGATATTATATGATAACCCAGCTTCAGTCATATCATCAAGAATTTTTCAAATTCATGTGATGAAACAAGAACATTTCTAATTAAAGAGTAATGTGAGTTCGAAATATACTTCGAGCTTCGATCATTGTTCAATTAAAAAAAAAGAAATTATACTGGACCCAACTATGCCACGACCCCACTGTGCTGGTTTTTTTAAATTATTAGTTTAGGTCAAGTGGTATAGTTATAGGTATAGTATAAGTATAATATAGGTTATTTTTTCAATTAAGTTTCTATAATTGTAGCTTCTTTAAAAAGCTACTATTGAAACACAGCCAAATAATAAAATTAAAATGATAATTCTAGACCACCCTATTATAGAAAATAACATGATAAAATTTTTTTGTATTTTTCATCACTTACTGGAATAATGAACGGGTGTCTTCAATTTTACAATTGCAATGTCATCAGTGCGTTTTTTAGAGTCGTATTGGTCATGATATGCTATCGTTGCAACATGAACTGTAACTGTTTCTGCCTCATCAGGTACTTTAGGATCTAAATTAAGGTCTCCGAGACGTACCTCATGTCTTAATTTTAAAAATACACAAAATTATATTAGCTCAATTAAGTAATTAAATTAANGCATAAAATTATCTTAGCTCAATTAAGTAATTAAATTAAACAAATAAAACGTTTCAAAGATTTAAAAATTTTATAATAGAGAATACAACAACGAAACTAGGTAACCTGTATGTTAATACACGCATAAAACAATCTTTCAAACTAACAATTACGAGATTTTAAAATCTCCGTAGTAGTAAATAGTCAAGTCCAAAATCATAAAGAGAGTGCGGTATTCTAGCGGTGTAAAAATCAAATTTCACTCAATAGAATAGGCTAAACTTTTTAAATGGGCTACTTCAGGTAAACATACAGAAAACTTAAATCGAGTAAGTGATAAATGACGAGGTATTAGATTTGATTAGAGAAAAATGTATTTAATACAGATAAAGTAGAATATTCAAACGTATATTTTAAAATAAAAGCTTATTAATATAATAATTGAAAAAGACATCATGATACATGAAAAAAAGCAGAATAAGATCAAAACTAGGTATGAAAACCAAAAGATTCTATATTATATACAATGTCCAAACCTTCAAGAAATATAAGAATCATAAAAAATATAATAATTAAGTTTAAAAAAAATATCATCAAACACTGCGATCAATTTAAAAGGATTAATAATGAAAATAAGTTTATTTTCATCATCACGTGTTTAAAAATCAATGAAATCAAATAAATTTCTGTACAAACCACAATTGTTACATATTTTTACTATTGAAATTTTGTTTTATTTGTTTTATATAGTCTTCGATAAGAAATTTAATTTCAGGACACGTACAAACTAACGTCTATATTTGTAACACATCTGGCAGTAGTTATCACGTATGAGTTTGATATTAAAGTACCACTGCACAACCACTCTGTTAGGTGATTTGTTTTTACATTAGTTCTATGATATCCAAGTGCCACTATCCATGGCCAACCACCTAGAAAAATATAAATCACATCCTTTGTACCTTAAAAATATAAATTAATTAACATAATTTTTTACCTATACTAGCGAGTACACTTCCAGCTGTAACTTTAGCGTGTGTAACGTTACTTTGTCCACAAGTCAATGGATTCAGTAATATATCTTCGATTCCCGTTTGTATAGTTGTTGTATTTCCACCAACATGATTTTTATGGTGACCAATTATTAAACTAATATCATCATTAAAATTTGATGAATCTTTTTTTAAGGAACAGCAAACCTTAGGGACTTTATTTTCATAGCCACAATTTGATTTTCGAAGAAAATTTCTTACTAAAATATTTTTTCTATGGTACACTAATAATTTTTCAAGTATAGGGCAACTTTTAATATTGATGCAATGTCCTTTTTCGTTAGATGGGGTCATACATTCTTCATGTGCATGAAATAAAATGTACTTATAATTAAAATACAATAGCATATTTTCTTAAAATATTACATAGTAACTTGAGGTGAAAATGCACATTTTTTCGATCGTATATTATTTGTAGTATAAAACAGTTATACACAATTTTTATTTTGTTTTAGCTAAAGAAATGATTAAAAATACTATTAAGTATTATTAGTGGGATTTGAACCTTATTTAATGAGTAATGAGAGAAACTGAGATAAAATAAAAAATAAAAGCGTACTCATACTATGTTGATGTGATAAAAATCCAGTAAGTAGTAAGTAGTAAGTTTCAACGATCAAATTAATGAATAAATAACATGATAATGTTTGTTAAATTTAGTATGTTTCCAATTCAATATCATAACGTTTAACTATAATGAGTAAAAAAAGATCTATAGATTAAGAATTAATTTTTTTTTTTTCAAAAAATGTTTTTTAATAAATAAAACAACTACAAAAAAATTGGAGTAAAAATATTAGATTAATTATTTAAAACCAACAATATAATGTATAAACCTCATTTATATTAAAATAAGTAAAAAATTATTTTTTAGATATACTTTGAACTTATACCCTAAATCAATTTTTTTCTTTAAATTCATATCAAAAATTGTGTGTGAAAATAAAATTATACAATTAATTAAAATGTATTAAAAAAATATTCTGTGTCCGTTCAAGGAAAAATTTAAATCACAAAAAATTTTTTTATAAACTTAAAATAGTACTTTCAAAGAGTGAATTATAACATTAAAGTATGACAAATTTGTATAATCTAAATAATATACATTATATTCAATTTTATCCCTATTTTTTAACGACTAAAAAAACATAAAAACTTTCCAATATTTGCTATTGGTTAACCATGAGTTCATAACTATAAATTTAAATTATTTATTGTAATATTGAATTTTTACCACATATAACTATATGTTTCAAAATGATGGGAGAACCTATTGACTCAAGAAATAATGTATTTATAATATTGTATTACACTTTAAATATTATGTTTTTACAATAATTTCAATTTTTAATGAAAAAGTGTAAAATCACATTTTATAGATATTTAAAAAAAAAAGTTTTGTTATCTAATCAATTGTGCAAAAAATAATTGAAGAAATAAATATCAAAGATGTACAATATTAATATTATAAATATAAATAACATAAATATTATGTTACATTTATAAAAATTCATTATCATAATTGAAATATGTTTTGTATGAGTCCACATGAAAATATTTTAAGTATTATTTTCTAAAAATCATTGAAAAATTTTCAGCTATATATAAATGTTTGTATTATGACGGTATAAAAGGAATTAAGGTACAAACAAGTAAACATGAATATTAATTATATTTGTCAAATACTAATTTTTTTTAATTTCAAAGTTTACATTATAAGTGGATTTTTAAAATAATTTTTTTTTGTTATCTATTCGACTATTATCAAACTATTATAGTTTTCGTAAGTCGACCAAACATGTATTTGTACATTACATCAAAGTAAAAGAAACATTTTAAGCAGTTGTTATTAAACAAATTTTATCAAGTATAATTAATTAAATGTATAATAAAAAAACTTACCATTTTCATTATTTGATTGAGAAATTACGGTATTAATAAGAAATATAAAGAAAAATAAAAAATTATAAATATTCATTGTAAAATATTTTTGTCTAATACTTATCTTAAAAAATTAATTTAATTTCTATCCAGAAAACTTCCGTAGCCAGCCACATCAACAAATAAGCCAAGAAATAATCGTTCAACGATAAGAAACGTTGCACTACCTTGAAATTTATATAAATATAAAACATTTAAAACAAGTGATTTACACCAAAGACGATTAAATATTCTGTTTTACATCACCTATACCTATACCATAAGTTAGAGGGGAGAATCCACTATACACTTTATATCCGTTATAAAATTTTTGTTGGTTTAATTAACTGAACTTCTTAATGACGCACAACACATTTATCAATTTTCTATTATGAAATCTTCAACTGATTCAATTTTAACCACTGATCACTATTATAGAAAACTTTTTTTATCAAATTTACCTACTTAGTATTTTTAAACATTTAAAACATTTGTTTACAATTTATTAACAAAAAATTTAATAATTAAATAATAAAATTTGATAAAATTATTAAATTATTGAAAAAAAAAATGTTTGATTAATTTTTTTTTAGTTATCTACTATTTATTTTATTTAATTAATATTAAGTAAAATTTTAGATCCAAAACTAAAAGGAAGTATAAATTATTATTTTAGCTTCGATGCGAAGTTGAGAATGTATTAATATTTTTAACTTTATTATGCTGTAACTTTTTGAAAAACTTATGGATCATTATAATTTGTTTAATTAAGTACTATTTATATTATTCTTTTATTCGACATAGTTTTTTTTTTAATAGGACCATTTTCATTAATACAGAGGGCGTTCAAATCTAAAAAATGCATATAGAACTTTTGAAATTATTCCGGAAAGTCTGACACTTTTATATATATATCTTAAATTTATCATCTAAAATTATATACATTAATTTTTTAACTAATGTAATTAAGTTGAATTATTAAGAAAGATATATTGAATAAATTCTCACATTAAAACTTTTAATATACAGATGAGGATTATATAAAATTTTTATACGGTTTATATGGTGGTTGTCTAATTTGACCATAAGACGCAATTTTTTTTTTCATAAACTTGAAATTCAAAATAAGATTATCTAAAAAAAACCCAGCACAGGGGTGTCGCGGCACAGTGATAACGTGGCATAGTTGGGTCAAATATAACAGTTTGCAAGTATGACAGTGATTAAAATCACCATCATAAAAAATGCTTCAATGCAAATCTTTAGAGAGTGTTTAATTTTAAAAAATTGATGGATTATTACAAAAGCTACATGATCTGCTATTTTCTTATTTATATCCTGATTAAAGTATGTCGAATGAAAGAGGTATATAAATACTACTTCTCATGAATAAATTGTATTGATTCATATATTTTTTAAAAAGTTATAGCACTTTAAAGTAAAAAATGTAAATTATAAAATCGAAAATTTTCACACAAAAATAGCATTCGGTAGCCGTTTTCTCCACGAAGACAAGTCCAGAGGTCAATTTTTTTTTTTCAAATTAAAGTACATTACATTAGCTTTAATTTAAGATATATATAAAAGTGTCAGACCTTCCGGAACATTTTCAAAAGTTAAGTTGAAAAAGTTATTTTTTTGTGAAAAAGTTGTCATTTTAAATCCCCCCCTGTGGGCAGTTAAAGGGTTAAATTTATAAAAAAAATATACCAAATGATAAATAAAGACATCAAACATCAATAAAAAAAATTATATTGATATGTTCATTTTTGAAAAAGTTACGGCAGTTTTTAGTAAAAAAAATTGAAAAAATTTCGAAAATTAGCGATTTTTAAATTTGTAATTTTTTTGGAGGTTTCCCCCATTTACGGGGAACGAGGGAAATTTTTTCAATTTTGAAGGGTAATGTCTTCGACTAGATACGATTTGTGATCTTTTGACGTATCGTTGAAAGAAATCNGGAGGTTTCCCCCATTTACGGGGAACGAGGGAAATTTTTTCAATTTTGAAGGGTAATGTCTTCGACTAGATACTATTTGTGATCTTTTGACGTATCATTGAAAGAAATTGGTTCGGTGAGAGCTGAGAAAAAGTGGTAACAGACACACAAAAAATAAATAAATAAATAAACACATCTTAGTAAAATCAATACCTTTTCAGCTTCGCATCGAAGATAAAAAAGTTTGCAATTTTTTTAATTATGAAGATACTAATAAATAAGTTATCATATATTTTGGTTGGGGTCATGACACTTAAGACCGCCCAGGATCCTCTACTCTTCACTAATAAAATGGATATACTCATAACTTTGAAAAAATATATATATTTTAAACATTCTACCTAATAAAGAAAAAAAAACATTGTATTATCAGTATTTTTATTCTATTTTAAAAACAATATAGTAATGTAATTTAATAGCCTTTTATTGCTGCTTATCAAATATTTTGACAAAATCAAAAAGATATTGTAAGTTTAATATAAATGTATATCGCATTCAAATTACTCTCACTTTCTCTTACATATGTATGTGTAGGATAATCTAGATTTTACTAACAACTCTAATGAATTGGGATTTTAATAGATAGTTATAACTATAGCTATCAACTCAAATATTATTTCATTGTCATATTTGATTGCACATT